AATATCAACTGGCTTCAATTAACAGCCAGATATAAATGTCATTGTCTATGAATCAAAATGCAAATTGTTTAAAATATTTGCAAACAAAGTATACAAGTTGAATGCTGTGCGGAGATTAAATTTTTACTAAAATATGCATAGGTATTGTTTTTATATAAATATATCTATTCTGATGTCTACGTGTGAAAATCGGTTAAATCAGTATCAGAAACAAGAAATTGTCTGTAAAATGATATCTAAATATTTTAGGATACAGGCGCAATCGATTGTTACAGCGGTTCCCAAGCTTGTAATGTGTCTGGTGTTTGTGAAAGCATTGACGTTCCCCAAAATACACCGTGTAATACAGGAAATAATGTGAGTAAATGATAACTATGGTTTTACTATAGAAAATGACTTTATTTAAAGAAATACTATGTTCATTTTGGTATGATTTTTTTATTTATAAAATTTATTTGGAAAATCTAGAAAAAATCTTTTCCTAAAATTTGAAAAAGTGAATTTATAAAATATTTTTGGGAAGCTGCTTTCCCCTTTACTTCTTTCTTTTTTAAAACGAAGGTTTTTTAATGACATGGGTTTTTTCATACTGAGATTACCTGTCTTTTTGTAAAATTTTAAAAAACTTAAATATTTTCCTATATGTATTTTAAAAAATTTTTATTTTAAAGGATAAAAAATCATTAGGTTTTCCCAAATAAAAAAATTTGAGCATTACATATCTTTATTTCTAACCCACAAACTAAGTCTAAATATAGAAAATGACATGCATTTAACAATGTTCTAATGAGTTAAATCTATTGAAGCGAATTTGATCTAAGCTATATGAAATGTTTAACTGATATCACGTCAACAGGATAGACTTATTGGGATCAGACTGGTAAACTCGACATATTGGTGCAAAACACATAAAAGTAGCTTAACATTTCATAAGTTTCAGATATTAATTTGTTAATATTCATTTTATATATTAAGTACTGGTTAATTATATGCTGACATCTAAGAAATGTTCTGGAACAGTGACTGAAAACAATTCTGTGGAAGATAAGCAAGCCTATGTCTATAACTTTCATTCTTGTTGTTGTAACAATTAGTTTTGATAAGATTTGTGGTAATTTTTTGTTTCAGTATGTGTGTGAGTATGGGTTTTGTGTGAGCAACTCGAGCCAAAGCTCTAGCTCCAGCACATCAACAGGTTTGCAGACGACAACAGTTACACCTTCTTCTACAACTGGATCCACCAAGAAGCCAGACGATTGTGTTGTAGAGACTGGTTATGTAGAGTTTGATCTTCCAGGTAAAAGAAATATTGTTGTCTTTAAGTAAGCACTGATCTGCGTAAATAACAAAGTAACCAATGCAAATTTGAATCAAGCAAGTAGCAAAGCTTAAAGGTTTCATGTGATTTTAAAACAGTTTTAAGTATCCTAAGCGGGGTAAAATACAGTAGCTTGCATTTTTTGATTTTCTGAAGCCAGTGATATTGTCATAAAAACATTTATCTTCTTAAATTCGTGGATTGTCTATTTTTCCAAATACAATTACTGGCAACATAATGAAATTTGTTGGATTTGAAAGTCATAGATTGACCTTCCAAAACGACGAACATTAGTGCCCCCACAAATAAAAATGATTTTACAGTACTTATGAAATTACAAGTGACCATCAGTGTAATGTTAGGTCTGGTTGAACCGATTTTCAGACCAGGGATGGAATGGACCTACATATCAGAATTGTAAAGGTTGCTTAATTCAAATCACTTGACCCTCATTGACTTTAGTTCGAATCTCGTGAGTTACGTTACATTTTTCCATGACAGAAAGCTGGTCAGTAAACTTACTGAATTTTAGTTCAGTGTGAAATCTGAGGTTTTCTTTTACCAAAGCTGTAAAGTAACAATATGGTCTTAACAGTGTCGGTGTGCTTTAAATAAAATCTAACAAAACAAACAAACTGTATCAGTGGGAAATTGTGATTGCTGCTAGTAAGCATTGAGAGTTTACATAAAACTTTTTTTATACTGGCAATATAATGGCTGGATGTTTTACTATTGAAGGGTGTGGTTGTTGTGGAGGGTGTGGCTGTGAAAAGACGTGTTCACAATGTGAACCTGGACTTCCGGCATATAACCAAAGTGAAAGCTGCACCAAGGAAGCTAACTGTTGTGGGTCTAAAGTTAGAATGAGAACATTGTACGTATTCTCTTCAAAATTGTCAAAATGCAATTTTCAGATTATCAGATACAATTTCTACTATTTTGATGAAAAATTTTAACATCTTTATCAAAATTTTAACCCTCGTTTAATTTTTTGTTAAGCAAATCTGTACTCAAAATTCCCTTTTTTAATGCAACCAGGTAAACATAACGTATTGTAGACTATTAAAGGTAGACTATTTAAACACATGTATACCGTTTATCCTTTAAAATGCTTGCATATGATTTTCATTATTTGAAAAATAACATTTTATGAAAAAAAACAAAACAACCATAACACCCCCATAAAAGAAACACACATACGCGCACGCACGCACGCGGGCGAGCGCGCGCGCACACACACACAAACAAAAACTTCAGTAAGATTTTTGTTCTTTTAATTTCCATGGCCGGCTATTTCGATTCGTTTTCCAAACTAATGCCTAGTATGCAAAAGTACAAAATAGCTTAGCACGAACTATTTCTACTGTTATTTAGAATGCTTTGAAACGTAAGAGTGTGTTTCGTAAAGAGACTGGCCATACTACACGCATGTGCGTGTTTGTCTTGGCGTATGAACTATGACGTCAGCAAGTCGGCGTGCGTGTTTATCTTGAACTATGCTCTTATGACGTCACCACAAGCATCAGGATAGTCATTATGTATATGTTAGTGTTCATCCGTGCTGTTCTACAGAAATTAGAAACTTTAGAAAATTTAGTGTCAAGCTTTATTTGGCCCTTGATTACGTCACTTACGCGTTTACTATGAAAACTATGAAGGCGGAAACTAATGCAAAGGATTTCAATTAATAAATATCGACTTTTTTTAATCTTGCTATGAAATTTATTATCGGGCCGACAGTTAATTTTGAAAGAAACTACATATCAATCAAAATTTGAAATCTATTCCGTGCGGTTATTCACGTGATGATTCAATATGCTTGAGAGCACCCTAAATCATTTGAACTTTGTTTGTATTTAACTATACCTGTAAATGCAATGTATCGATATAATATAATCATAATAAATGTCTGTGTGTCAAATAGATATCAACAATAATATAAACAATCATGGATTGTACTATAGTTTATTACTATGTGAATTGCTTTAAAACGTAATAATAATAGAAATGCTACAATATTATTTATAGAAAAAGTATTCGAGTAACCTTATAGATGGCTTTTTTTCTTCTATGTTACATATATATATAAAACTCTCGATAGGTGATGTGACACGCGAACGATTAGTCATTTTTCAGGGAAGAGAGGAATGGCGAAAACCGAGCGACCAGAAGAACCAACAGCACGGTAACAGAGCGGAAGTCCTCAAAATTGTCATTTACGGACTGTGGCAGAGTGATGGTAATGCAAGATGGCTCATCAAATGTATCTGAATTTTTAATAAAATTTTTAGGATGTCTCAAGAGCACACAACTTTATGAATGGAAGGCATATTTTCTAGACAATGTCTTTTGTTTAACAGTTCTTGCTTATATCAAAACAAACACATATCATGTATTGTCTATTTGTAAAGTTGTATATGACGATGATCATGATTTTTATCCGTTTTTTACCATTTGAAGCCGTTATAAAAGAAACCTATAAGAGTCGAGCAACACCCCCGGCAAAATAGAAAATGCTGCATGCAACTAAACTTTAAAATATCAACCTTATTGATGTAATTTTCTTTTTATCTTCTCTTTCGTTTTATTCCTATATTATTTTACTTGCGGTTGGGTCTATTTCTTTTACAATTTTCACTCGAAATTAGTTAATATGAATATGTTTTCCATTACGATCATGCTCTCTTTTCATCACATACTTGTAGCAAAACAACATTTGTAGTATATGTAAACTTATACGAATATCAAAAAACAAAAATATATATCTTTAGTGCATTTACCAAGTCCTCAATTGATTTATGTCCTGGATAAATGATGAATCATTATATCATCAATTTTGTCAATATATGTTGCAACCAGTAAAATGACCATTTCATCATAAACGTGATTATTTTTTTTTTGAAAACAACACCTTCATTACCTTTCGTACCATATAATATATGACTGTGTAGATCTTAGGTATATATATTTCTAATAGTAACACAAATAGACCAAATGTACCTACCGGTGGTAATCTTTTAATTATATTATTTAAAACAATTTGCTTATCGATTAACAAAAGCATGGTCTTTTTTTCCGGATGAACACTCAACAGAAGGAATGATTGATCGCTATGATTGTAATAGGATGTGATAAGATATTTTGTTAAGATTTTATTAAAAGGGAATTCAATAAAATTTCCTTCAATTGGTCAGAAGTGCTGTTGGCAGAGCTTAGAACAGAAAAAAAACTAAAAAAAAACAACTAATTTTTATCATTGTGAAAGAAAATTTAAGGACTGATCATACAAAAAAATGCCTGTCTTTCATGACTGCTAACTCAGTAGGTTGTCAGAGTTTAAAGGAAAATAAGATAATATCTATATCCGTCCGCAATCTTTTGGTAAATTTTGGTGAAACTTTGCCACCGTAAATATCATTTCGGAGTTGTTTTTTTTAAACATTTCAGCTATATACTGTTTTTGAAATGCGTCCATCAAATATGTCTTTCATTTTAAAAACGACGGGGTTTTAGCTGTATTGTGCTCAATAGGTTTAAAATTGCCTCTATGTATATCAATTTTTGCTTTCTTTCTTATTTGGTTAATTAATATCAATCATATTCCATCATCATATGATTTAATTTTCGGATCACCCCCAAGAGATGATGGACTTCTTTTTGTAAAAGCAATTTGCTAATGGTCCACCAACGCTTGTGATTTTCATATCCCAAAAGATTTTACATAAAACACTTATGTCAACCAAAATAGAAATCAAACTAGGTTCTTTCCATGCAAAAAAGTTACTGATTTATTTATCACATCAATTATATCCATCCAATAATGATATATTCAGAAAGTTGTGTCACTCACTTTATGCCGACACATACATACGTGTCACAGATAAAATATTTTATTAATTTTGTTGAGTTTAACTCACGCTGAGCAAGAAAAGGGCAAACGCAAACTACAACTTATGAAGAAGAAAGAATCTTTCGATATCGAAAATATGAGACATGATGATTTAAAAGACATGCAATGTAACACGGAATACTCTGAGGGCGAAGTGAAAGCTGAAACAAACAAACTAAGAACCACATCTTCTCATCTACAATATTACTATTTAACGCACAATGTTCCACTAAATCTTCACTACCGCTCAAAACGGGACAATTGAAAATGTTGAGTGTTAGGTTTCATTGAACCTGTACATAGTCGGCAGTGGTACCAGCAAGCAACCCTCTTTCTCTCTAAAGAACGTGCATAAGCAAAAACCAGCAATGATTAGTGATGATGTTGAAAATTTGGATTTAGAAACAATTTTCAGTCGTATTCACACAGCGGTCTTCAAGGAACTGTCTATTATGTTTATCAGTAAACTGATCATACTTTAATAAATAGCTAGGTCTGTATAATAATCGGACAATAATCTCGACAGTATATTTTAATCCTTATGTTTAATTACTTTGATAAGTAAACTATAAAGATTTATAAGTATCCATTAATAGCTACATTCCAACACTGGAACAACTTTGTTTCTTATTCGATTCAATATTTAACCCTCGTCTTTATAAAGAATGACTCATCGCTCCGGAGATATCCAATCATCTTTGTTTCGACAGTTCATTGATGATTTTTGTCACTTGGTGCCATTGCTTTAAGACAACTTTTCGTTTTAGATCTAAAAATTATATCAGTCCAGGAAAAATAAAGCAAAAAATTCATAGAAAATTAAGTGAATCCAAAGATAGAACAAATAATGCTCAGGTGGAGAAAAATATTTGTTTGACATTTTTACTTGCGTGTTTGAATTAATTTAATTAATTGATAAATGAGCTTAAGCAATGCCGATATCTTTAGGGAACTATAAAAGTATTGCCTTTAAAATATCGACAAAACTTGGCGGATTATTAAAATACCATATCATTAGGAGCCTATGTCTTCTTTAAATCGGTGTCGGAAAACCATTTTACTTTGGAAACAAATTTATTTTTACGTGTAATGTAGAATTTTCACGAATATTTCATTTTAACAATTTTTTTTTTAAACTCATATATTTTCTTACTAAATGTTACAAACGTAATTCTTATTATGATAGTTTCTTGGTGTTTCTTATTAGATTGTACTAATATGTTTTTATCTAATATGTGTATAGTCGAATTGATAAAATATGTTATCTGTTTTTCAAATATGTAACACATGTTAATCTGACCGAAAAAACTGATGGTTAAAGCAAATACACAACTTGGTCAAGATACCTCTGATTAATTTACCTCTGATTGAGTGTTTACATGAATAAGCCGATGGTTTTATGTCTGAAATACCATAAATAAACCTTAGGATGTATTTAGCATCATATATGACAACAATCCACGAAAGAGTTATGGCAAGTTCGAGATGAATGATCTGCTACCACATATCTATAATTAGCCAATAATAAATACTCCTAGAACAAAATAGTTCTTACTAAATCAATTACAATTCTACCATCATTTTTATCAATATTTTATAAGAATATCCAAATATACCTTTCTATTGTTTTTCATAAATACTTAAGATACTTAGACAGATGTGGCAATAGAAGTCCATTTAACTTTAAAAGATATTCAATATTTCAATCATGTGCTTTCAGAAAATTGGTTATTGTTTCCTAGATGACGTGCCTGATGCCTGATATTTCATGTAAAACATCAGACGAATAAAGCTCTTCGGGAACATGTAAATCCTTGCACTTCATCCCTTGATTTGTACTCACAAAGGGCAAAAATCGCGTAAAAAATCGATATTCAATTTTATCATGAGTGTATGCCTTTGTAGGTTTCTAGCTCAAAGAACAAGGTAACAACTGTATGTCGTAAGCCATGGTGCACTCACTCATGGACATGTGTGACCTTGATTTCGGAGCTAGGCACCTTATAAAAGTG